AAGCCGTGACCAATGACGTGTGATAAGAAGCGTGACACTTTCGTCTCCCCCCTTCTCGTGTGAGAAGCTGCCTGAGAAGATACGTGAGAAGCTACGTGACGTCTGCGCCTGTGTCATCTGCAGTACCTTTTGCCAGTTCTGTGTGTGATTTTGTCAAATGTCTTAAGTGCTATAGATTAGTGTTTTTTTTGTTTTGTTTTGTTCTGAGCAAAAAGAAAGAAAAAACCTGTGTGTTATAACATTTTTGCACCTCCAAATCCCAGAATATTCCATAATCTTCAGAATGTTGACGAAAATATGACGAGTAAAATTTAAATTACACTGCAATATTAACTAATCAATGAACTTACAATGTTATTTAGAAAAAGTGCTTATAACTTGTAAAACAACAACCAGGAACAACCAATTCACAGCTTTCGTGTAAGCACCATATATAAGATAATGGCAGTATAATCCAAATGGAAAGACAACATTTTTATGAGTTTAAGAGTTTTGTCCCCAAGAAAACAAAATCGAAAAATGGCTTAATGCATTAACACAGTTAAATCCAAAGACCAAATTCTAAATTAAAGATGCATTCATAATGTAAGCAATGGACCATGAGTAAACACTTCAATCATGTTTTACTAATTAATTTAGTAGTTTAGAAATTATAATATTCTAGGCTATATATATACTGGCATGCATAAATACACACCTCGAGGCGGTGGGCTGGAGTGAGTTGCCGGCAGGGCGGACTAACTCGCTGCCGGCCGCCTGGGATGTGGAGGGACGGCTGCTGTCCGTAAGGGAGCGGAGGAGTCGCCGCCGTTCGCCTGAGGCCGTTCGCCATGATGGGGAGGAGCAGGGAACCGGGGACTCCTGCCGGCTGCCCGAACCCGGAGGAGCCGTCGCCGTCCACCGGGCGGCGGAGGAGTGTCGGGCCGTCCACCGAGGGCTATCCAGTGCCGCCGCCAGGCATCGCGGAAGAGTTTACCCAGCTGGTGGAGGGCCGAGCGGCAGTGTGTCTGGGAACCGGACCCAGAATTTTTTTTCCTCTCTCCTCTCTCTCGTCTCTGTCTCTCCTCATCCTTCCGTCTCCTTTTCTCTCGCCTCGTCTGTCTGTCCTTACCCCCAGGTATGCCGCGGCCGCCGTGATCGGCTCCCCCAGAGGGGTTGGGGGAGTAGAGCGCAGTCTCGTGAGTTGTCAGTCCTGCGAGGGGGGATGGGGGTATGTGACGAGAGGGGCAGGCCCAAGAGCCGTGGGAACGGAGCGAGGCCGGTGGAGTAAATGCTAATGTGCTAATGGAGCTCCGGAAGGATAAAAGGAGGAGTGACGACAGTGTTGGACGAGAGAGGACCAAGCCTGGATTTTATTTTTTTTGGTTCTGTTTGTGTGCGACAGTCGATAAAAAGGAGGAGTGACGACAGTGCAAGACGAGAGAGGACCAGGCCTGGAGTTTATTTTGTGTTTTGTTTGTGCGTGACAGTCGTTCGCGAGGGGCTGTCGCGCTGTTTTGTGGTTGTTTATTTTATTAAAATCTTCTTTAAATGTTCGCCGGTTCCCGCCTCATTCTTCCCGACCTACAAACATTTGTTACAGTCCCCAAGAAAACAAAATCGAAAAATGGCTTAATGCATTAACACAGTTAAATCCAAAGACCAAATTCTAAATTAAAGATGCATTCATAATGTAAGCAATGGACCATGAGTAAACACTTCAATCATGTTTTACTAATTAATTTAGTAGTTTAGAAATTATAATATTCTAGGCTATATATTATACTGGCATGCATAAATACTTTTATGCTACTACAATTTTTTAATGATTTCTCCAAAGTTGGCCTCATTTTACAGATATTTTATGTTCTCATTCATAAAACACATTATATAATTAACTCTACTGTCACAGTGTGAACTCAAACAACACACAATTATCCATAAGCAAGCATTCAGTAGCAAAACTGATGACACACCAGTCAGAATCTCAGGATAGTATAAACAGGAGCAGAGGTGACTGCTTTAAAAATGCATCCTAGCACTGGAGAGAGAGCTGAAAGAATCACCGACAGGGTTTTACACTGCTTACACAGTGTAGTACAGTATAGTAACTAACAGTACTTTATATAAGGGACATTTCACTATTCGGCCTCCAGTAAACAGTATGACATGTTGTAGACACTCAAACTTGTGACTGTCAAATTTAGCCTGTTTTTTTGTTTACCCGTGTTTTTGCAGAACTGAGTCTGAAAGACAACTGCCTAAGGGAGGTTGAGAAAGTGTTTTGTCAGAAGACCAAGAAATTTATTTTTGTACTATATACTACTGTAATGAAATTTGGCCAAT